TTCAACAAAACTGTTTCATTTACATCGATAAAAAATTCCGCGAGTTCGAATATCGAGTAAACTATGTCGAACTCGTTATTGTGAAAAGTCCGCGTTGTGTTGCGTTGCTGTACAGCGAGGGATGACTCCTGTGTTTGGTGATGCTGCTGAGCGCGGCAGTGGTGCACAAAGCACTTTTCACAAATCAAACTCGAAAAACATTAATCAAAAACGCAACGGTTCATTAAATAATCGTGATGTTTGGCATATCATGACAGGCTCAAAGTTCACTGGCGGCACAATTCACCTCGGGTTGAGAATACGTACTTGTCAGGCCCAGTTGGTGGAAAAGCGTTTAAAGAGAGCTAATTTTAGCATAATTTGCATTAAGCTCATTATTACTATTATTTTATGTCAACCGAAGACTTTGTCACACTGCGTCTCATCTCGGCGTGTTTCTCGCTTCGCACAGTGACCTGACCATTCCGACGTCGAAAATTGCCCTCTTTGTTCAGGCCTCCCATGGTATGATCCAATCAAGCAGAGCCACTCCGCGGGACGTCTGCAACGTGGGGGCGGTTTTGCGCTTTTGCAATTCAGCGCCACGTCCCTGAGAGGCCTTTGTCTCATTTTCCAGCATCTCACCAATACATCTCACAGGACATGACTGTGGCAAGCAATATATATAGGATGGCACGTACGCAGCCACTGCCTCGGCTTGTGCTTGCATCCCTTTTGCTGCAGGCGGACAAAGGGATGTGTGCCATCACCCACCTTGCCACCAACCCGCCCCACCACACAATACCCCCTCGTTGGCTCGGTGGCATAGCTTCAGGTGCCACCAGCTGTCTCGCGTGCGCTCACAATCAGTGCCCGCGTTAACGCCACGCCGAGAGACCCTACGGGAGTTCGTGCCAGGGCACAGGTTGGCACCGTGACAGTCGGGGAGGGGTGGCGGGGGCAGGGGCTTTTACTAATCGTGACATCGATCGCTGAGATGTCGAACATTTTGCCCGACGCCAGAATTACAGCACGATACGACGACCGGCGTAGTGTTTTCGAGGTCACGCTGTGTGGCTCTCCGAGGTTTTATATATATTTTTTTGGAGTGGCGTCCGACGTTTCGGTTTTTCCCACGCCGTAACTGAAAAAGCTCCCAAACACGTGGAGCGTGAACGTCGGACGTTATACCGGACAACAGCGTGCGGAACAGCCCAACAACACATCGGGAGGGAGCTATGTAATACTGGATGCTCTTGCAGGCAGCATTGGCCGTTTAAGTATAAATTGAGCGGAGGACCCATTCGAGGAGGCAAGGGTGGCTCAGAGGTCAGGGCGCTGAACCGGTATAGCTGAGGATTCTGGGTCCGAATCGGGTTTCAGCCGCTTGTGATTAAAGGGCGGTGAGTTGATGGCCTCGGCTTGGTTAACGACTTCATGAAAAAGAGCCCCCCCCCCCCCCATCAATAAATATTATTTTGGCACGATAATGTAGCTACTTTTCGCTTTAAAATTGTAAATATCAGTTTCATAGTCATGCGACAATCTCATAGCAGAGCGCATGTAAATTTAACTATTAACTATATTTTTTATTTTACCAGCTAAGGTCCACTGACTTAAAACTTTCGTAACTGCAGGAATTTATATTCTATGGTTCTTTCGGTAAAATCACGTAGATATAAAAATAAAGTGAAACCCCCCCCCAAAAAAACACTCATGTAGACTGTAGCCTGGTTCTTAATCGGAGTGAGTGTAGTGGCAGTCTATAATGTAGACTGTAGCCTGGTTATTAAGTTTGGTGAGTGTACTGGCAGTCTATAATGTAGACTGTAGCCTGGTTATTAAGTTTGGTGAGTGTACTGGCAGTCTATAATGTAAACTGTAGCAATGGTTATTACGCTGGGTGAGTGTACTGGCAGTAAATGTGACTTTACCGAAAGAACCAAAGAATAAGGCCCACTGAGCTATATAATTCTTAATCAGAAGCGACCTGGCCACAAATGATAGCTCAACGAAGTGGCCTATCACATGTAAATGTAGAGTACTCTAAACGCACGATGTTTCTAAATGTGGAGGCAAAAACTGGAGGACTCGGATAAAAATCCACGCGACCACGGGAAGAGAGAGACACCCAAACCCCAAATATACAGCAGGCATCAGGGTTTGGATCGAACCCACGACTACCTGTATACCAGGCGAGGTAGTTAACATCTCGCCACTGTGACGTGCAATCGTGTGACCCCTTCCGTGTGAAGAACGAAAAGGTCGGCAGGAGATTGTTTTGGAGAAGTCCGTGAAGGGTGCCGTTACGTAGCCATTCTCTGGCACGCGGAGGCGCACGTCCCGTGTGTGTGATTTTCTAATTATTCATTGGAATAGTGACACAACCTCTGCCCCCAGAAGAATGATCCAGCAACCTCTGCACCGCAGTTCCACGGTGCTCACTGTTACGCTTACGACAGCAAACTTAGAAATTAGTGGAGGATCTTTTAATAAACACCGCACACATCGGCGTGTGTGTGTGTGTGCAAGCGTCAGTTCGTTGCGTATGTCACTATCTGGGACTGGTCTGTGTGTGTGCGGACATTTTTGGCACGCACGAGCAGCTGGTCTACATCAGGTTCATAATCTTTATTTATCCCGGAGGAATCTGATGAGCTATGAAGTTCGTTTTCACAGACGTCAGTAGGGGCAGGTCAGCGAGTTACAATAACAAAAACCATTAAATATTTGATTAAGATAGGGAAAAGTTGTTGTTTGACTTGCTTAACTTTTCTCTATCTTAATCAAATATTTTATGTTTTTTTTGTTATTGTGACTCGCTGACAATAACGCATGGAAGTACAAATTGCACGAGTAGTTACATTCCTGCAGATCTGTGAAGACCAAATGCATGCTGGGGCAAGGCAGCAAAACAACAACAAAAACAACAATTCAAGAACGCACCAAGACAACAGAGCTCCCCCCGACTACCGTGTTCAATGCAATATGTTACCCATCGGTATTGCCAGGAGGTCTCCACCCTGTTCGCCATGAGTGATGCTTTTGCTTAAATTAATAAGTGTGTGTTGGCATGCCTACAGACGCACGCATTCATTTAGATTCTAAATTTAAACGTGAATGGATCTCAGATGTATTATTTAATGGCCTATAAGCGATTGTGCTTCTCACGGAGAAAAACGTGGTTTACGCTTTCTTTGTGTGCGCCTGTGTTAATGCATTGTAGATGGGGTTTTTTTTGTTGTATTTCCATGCCGACGAAACATCAAAGTATTCCTTAAGCTTTTGAAAAGTTACCCTTGGGTGGAATATCTATGTGGTACTGTATTTATAACGTAGCTGCTAATGTTTCCAGTGTGTTGTTTTAACAGAGAGGGCTTTTAAAGCTAGCATTCGTTACAAGCTTTGTTTCTAAGAGTTATGAAATTTTTCACGAGATGTGTGCAATCATAATTAATAAATATATGTTGTACATAATGCTTACTTTTTATAAGCTGGCATTTGGGGTGTGCGTGTTAATTGATGTCTCGTTTTCGTACTTCTAAATCATGTCCATATTTCTGCAGTACAATATATATTTTTTACATAACGTTCTAACATTCATATTACTCGAATGGCTTTTAATTCCGCTCCAACGGTGACTATGAATCTTGGGCTTTCGGTGACGCCACGTTCAGAATGCCCGGGCTGTTACTCAGAAGGCTGTGAGTGGGAAACCCAGTTGGGGATCATCTCGCCGTGTCATTAATTCCCCCACGGGTCGCTAAAATAAGTGCCACACTCTGTGGCAATTAACAGCGATTGTCCTCTGCGATGACTCCCTCCTAACCTACGCAAATGGGGTGCAATTTGCAACACTGACTCAGTGCTGGTCACAGGGTTTAGCAGGAAATAACTATGACTTACTACTCTTTGAAAACGTCGTACATTTAAATTGTTGATTTACTATGATACGGTTCTCCCGATGTGTTTTAGGTTTGTCCTGCCACACGATGTTAGGCCTGATGTCCAAACGGTTTGTTCCACGTTGTTGCGGAGCCTCTGCCCGCTGCTAAGTGGTTGTTGTCCATTCTTGACACGGATTGGCACCGGCGCTCTTGACGTAGCGTGGCTCTGGTTGTTTTTGCTTCGTCTGGGAGGAAACCGGGGTGCTGGGAGAAAGCTGACCGTGCGTGCGTACGAGCGGAAACTGGAGGACCCAGATACGCATCGGAGAGCCGTGTGGCGCAACTGCGAGAGCCTTCGTAATTGAATACAATTGAATACAATGCGTTGTATTGTGTGCCGCATTATACGCTGGAGTAATGGCTGTTTGGCAGAATTGCATCGCCGCTGTGAAGGAGCCTGGGCCCCGAGGGGTGCAGCAGGGATAAATGACACTCGAGCTGGGATGTCTGATCGTTTAAGTAACCGATGACTGTTTTGGAATTCAGTTGATATTTGTCTTGCCCGCCTTTTCACGTGTGCCACTGGACGGGAGGTTACGGACGCGTCGGTGACGTAATTTGCATTGTCCACCGTGTGGTGCTTGGTGTGGCTTGTAGGAGGTTTCCAGCCCTCAGGAAGCAGGGGGTGTGTTGGGGAGGCTGCGACTTTTAAAGGGGTCCCGAGTAACCGACCACAACGGAATCAAGTCGATAAAAAATGACACTGATTTAATAGATTGAAAAACGACTTATATACATCCCAGCTGTAACTTACACAGGTGATGTCCACATATGGTCGCTACTTTCTAAGGTTTAAAAAAAAAAACATAACGGAAAGCAGAATATGTCACGATGCCGGAAGGGGTGAGAACTGCATCTGAAACGCGCCGTCGTGAGTGCTGCATTATTATTACGCAACCGACAAAAAACACCGGTGCCTTTGCAACGTTCCGGAAGCGTCACAGAATATTTCCGAGGACAGCAGCTGCTTCAAGGTGGCCCGATGTTTGGGGGGGGGGGGGGAAAGCCGCGCGATTGGTGGCGACCCCCCCCCACGTTTCCCGTCGCGTTGACAGGCGCTCGTTGTTCCCGCAGGCGATGCCCTCGACGGAGAAGTTCTACGAGGATCTGTTGGACGAATACGATTTCTCCGGCTCGGGCTTCAGCACGGACGACGAGGGAGGAGACGAAGGCGAGCTCTACTCCGGCTCAGGTGAGGAGAGCCTCACCCTGGTGTGCTTCCGGTTAGCGCGGTTGGCTACGTACGGTGCGAAAGAAGTTCAGCACACACGCATACATGTAAAACGGTGTTCTTCATTGCAAGGCCCACGGGCCACTGGCAGCCCCTGGTGGCCTTCAGTGCGGTCCCTGACGTGCGGTCTCCGACAGTACGCAACACGTGACAACACCCGTTGCAGGCGGTGTGGCGGCCCTCACTCTGATGATGTCTTATCGGTGAAAGTCTCTTCTGAATAGTAGTTAAAGAGCACTGATAAAAGGTAAAGGGGCAGCGCTTGCAATCGCTTGCTCTTGCCTACTGCTGGCGGAAGGGTCCCCGCTAGCGGTTATTTTGGCGCATTCTTCCACGCTGACCAGATGTCTTGGAAGAGCTGGGAGTAACACACACCTTACCCCAACGCACACGACCTGCCGATGGACTACTTGCAGTGAACCCACTAAAACCCGCTGGTTCAACAAAGGCCGACCCACCGGGAGGTTGGATCAATGCGGCCGACCTCTAGATTCGAATTCCAGTGTCCTAAACGATCACACCATGGCAGCATCCTAATGTGGGGCCTCCGAGATTATCCGTCTGTCCGATCGCGTGGCCACATATCATCGTGTGTCTGAGTTAAAACGATGTCCGTTTCAGCACGAACGGAGGTGCAATTCCCGTATACGGGTCGCGAACGTTGCCATGAGTGACCTTGCCTGCCACGAATGCCTGCGTGGAAAGAGCCAAATTTGTCTTTCAGAAAATTCTGAACTGCCACGCCTGGGACGTGAATCTTCAAATGATTTGTTAACGGCTAATACATACATATATGGGGGGGGGGGGGGGGGGGGGGGGCGGGGGGGGGCAACCCCATTATTTAAAAGAAATAATTTTTCTGCATACAAAGTTTTTGAGCAAACATTGTAAACAAACAGGACGCAAATTGCGAAGTGCCATTTTAAATAGGGGCAAAGTTTAACCATTATCATCCAGTAGAGTCCGCTTCAAATTGTATTGTCTGACAGCGTGTATATTATTTTTCTTCATATACACACTCGTATATTTCCCAGTGTTTACTTTACCAATCCATAACCAGACGTGGTTTAACAACAATAAATATGCACTGTGCAAGAGCTTTTTAAGGGCCTTTAAATGAAAGAACAAGCGCATCATTATTATAGATATATATTTTTTCGGTACCGAAACGCAGTAGTGCACATTTCAACTCAGCACAAAGGCAAGCCGGCAAGTATGTTTTTTTCCACTGCGTAGTAGTTTTCCCCCTCGAGATAAGTACGCACAGTAACAAACAAAAAAATCCCCAAAATATGTCTGCGTGCAGCAATTATAGCTTGGAGATGCAGAAACGCTGACTAACCTCTTACTGGAAATTTGTGTCGCAGTGTTTCGCGGACGCGGGAGCCTTTGGCCTCATTTCTCAAAAGGAATGCAATGCGCAACCCTGGACCAGTGTTTACGCCAAAGGGCACAACGGAGATCTATGTAACGATGATCCAAATTGCATTGATAATGGGCAATATAAGGGCAGAAGTCCATGACTCAGAATAATGTTGTTTCGTAGCAGTTTCTCATGAATGTGCAGACGCCAGTCGATTTGCTTGGCGAAAAAAGCATACCGGGCAGATGCGGTTTTTCGATAACATTTATGAATCTCCATTAATTCTGAGCAAGCTTACCAAGCTTGAGGAGTTACTGCTAATGACCATTATGAATGATTGGAATTTTCTACATTTACATCGGCACACTATTGTTTGCTGACTAGGCAGACCTTGCGGTTGGGTGATTTATATTTAAAAGCGTGCAGTGTTGTTTTTTTCTTTTTTTGCTAGCAATAAAAACAATTAAAGGTTTAAGAGCCCAAAGGCATGCCCATTTCTGTGATGAAAAAATAATTAAGTAAAAACCGAGAATTAAGTACTCAAGGTTCATATTTATGGCCTAAGGCATCATGTTGACACAGTGGTAACATTTGGCCGCCACGGTGTCGAGATGTTAACTACCTCGCTGGGTATACAGGACGTCTTGGGTTCGATTCCGACCCTGATCCCTGCATATTTGGAGTTTGCATGTTCTGCCCGTGGTCACGTGGATTTTCCCTCCGGGTCCTCCGGTTTTCGCCTCCGCATTTAGAAGCAACATCACACGTTTAGAGCATTTGGCTACTTCTATGCATTTCCACATGATGAGCCACTTAATTCTGTGATCATTTGTGGCCAGGTCGCTTCTGAAAAAGAGCTATATAGCGTAGTGGGTCTCACCTGGTAAAATTAAAAATAGTTTTTTTTTGTTATAAATAGTTTAGTTTACTTGTGCCTCACAGTAAAAAGAGCTTGGGTTAGATTCCCGAAATGTTATTGACTAAACGTCCCAATGCTGAAACATTACCTGTCAGTGACTCACTTGGATTATATACGTAGTGACATCGCCTCCTACTGGGACAACTTGTCAAGACACGCCTAAAAAAAGTCTTGAACACTCGGTGATGCATTGTATGCATATATTTTGAACTTCTTTCGGCACTGTACGTAGTCAACCGTCCTAATCAGAGGTCCTTTGCTGTGTAAACGGTCACAAATATAACAATAGTAATCACTTGCTCGCTCTATAAAAGATTTACGTAAATAATCGCATTGATTATTATTTTTTTACTACTATGTTGACATATTAACGTATCATGTAAGGTATTTTGGAACATAAACGTGCATCGGTGAGTACATGCCGGATTAAATTCTGGTTACATTTCATGAGTCGGAAGAAATGCTCCTAGATTAACGAAGACTTGACAAATAAATTAAAAGACAATGTTGTAAAGAGGTGAATGAACACAGGGAAGAATTTACTTTTCAAAGTGTTAAATGTTATTTTTCAACGGCATGCGTACAGTGAGGGAAACAAGTATTTGATCCCCTGCTGATTTTGTACGTTTGCCCACTGACAAAGAAATGATCAGTCTATAATTTTAATGGTAGGTTTGTTTGAACAGTGAGAGACAGAATAACAACAAAAAAATCCAGAAAAACGCACGTCAAAAATGTTATAAATTGATTTGCATTTTAATGAGGGAAATAAGTATTTGACCCCCTCTCAATCAGAAAGATTTCTGGTTCCCAGGTGTCTATTATACAGCTAACGAGCTGAGATTAGGAGCACACTCTTAAAGGGAGTGCTACTAATCTCAGCTTGTTACCTGTATAAAAGACACCTGTCCACAAAAGCAATCAATCAGATTCCAAACTCTCCAAGATCTCACCTTGTGGAGTTGCAATGATCATGAGAACGGTGAGGAATCAGCCCAGAACTACACGGGAGGATCATGTCAATGATCTCAAGGCAGCTGGGACCATAGTCACCAAGAAAACAATTGGTAACACACTACGCCGTGAAAGACTGAAATCCTGCAGCGCCCGCAAGGTCCCCCTGCTCAAGAAAGCACATGTACATGCCCGTCTGAAGTTTGCCAATGAACATCTGAATGATTCAGAGGACAACTGGGTGAAAGTGTTGTGGTCAGATGAGACCAAAATGGAGCTCTTTGGCATCAACTCAACTCGCCGTGTTTGGAGGAGGAGGAATGCTGCCTATGACCCCAAGAACACTATCCCCACCGTCAAACATGGAGGTGGAAACATTATGCTTTGGGGGTGTTTTTCTGCGAAGGGGACAGGACTTCACCACATCAAAGGGACGATGGACGGGGCCATGTACCGTCAAATCTTGGGTGAGAACCTCCTTCCCTCAGCCAGGGTATTGAAAATGGGTCATGGATAGGTATTCCAGCATGACAATGACCAAAAACACACGGCCAAGGGAACAAAGGAGTGGCTGAAGAAGAAGCACATTAAGGTCCTGGAGTGGCCTAGCCAGTCTCCAGACCTTAATCCCATAGAAAATCTGTGGAGGGAGCTGAAGGTTCGAGTTGCCAAACGTCAGCCTCAAAACCTTAATGACTTGGAGAAGATCTGCAAAGAGGAGTGGGACAAAATCCCTCCTGAGATGTGTGCAAACCTGGTGGCCAACTACAAGAAACGTCTGACCTCTGTGATTGCCAACAAGGGTTTTTGCCACCAAGTACTAAGTCATGTTTTGCAGAGGGGTCAAATACTTATTGCCCTCATTAAAATGCAAATCAATTTATAACATTTTTGACATGCGTTTTTCTCGATTTTTTTGTTATTATTATGTCTCTCACTGTTCAAATAAACCCACCATTAAAATTATAGACTGATCATTTTTTTGTCAGTGGGAAAACGTACAAAATCAGCAGGGGATCAAATACTTTTTTCCCTCACTGTAAAACCAAATGCCCTGATGATAGCATATGCGTCCCACTGGTTACAGCTGTACATTTGAAAAAGTCGGAAATGTGAAAATGACAGTTACACCATGCACAAATACCATACTGGGTCTCGGCGGTCAATTGATCAGGGCTCATGTGTGACGTAGGACATACGATTTAGCACTGCAGTCGAGTGCAACTTATGAATTCAGCTTGTGTGCACGCGAGGACTAATCACTGGGCAGAATCCTGCGAGGTGGTGCCGGCTTGGGGAGACCTTCATCCAGCAGTGGACTGGTCATGGCTTATGATGATGATGATGATGGGCGGGTGGTACGTGCCCACGTTGACGCTTGTATGAGCTGTGTCTTGAATTATCTGAATACATCTGTTGAATACATCTTTTGTACACGCCGGACCCTTACCCAGGTGATTTATCTGAGCAAGACCAGGGCTGGAACGTGCACACACCTCACAAGGGCGAGAAGATGGTGACCAACCCGACCAGGGTTTTGCCAACAACGACGCAGGACAGAGTAAAGGTACCTTGAGTGACAGCAGTCTGATCTCTGCCCCCCCCCCCCCTTGTGCTTATTTTAGAATGGAAAATGATAAGGGCACATGCACCCCTCCTTTTAGTTTATCCATTTTTAATGTTCCAACTTCTCTGAGCCACCAATGCCATGTGCACGTGTCCGCGTGGTGGCACTTGCTTGGAGTCTCCCTCGTGTCCAAGTTTATGGAAACTGACCGCCGACCGTTAAATGCGATCGTCCTTGTATTAAACGTGCCGTGCTATTTGAACCTGTGGGTGGCCGTGGGCTATGAACTTGGGGGTGGGGGGGGGAGGCTGTTGTTTGTGCACTGGGGTGAGGCAGGGGTTATTTATTTAGTCCTATGGATCATCGTTTTGTCTGATTTATTCAGAACACCGGCAAGACATTTGGAATGTTTGTTTACTTTTTGACAGAAAATGAGCGGGCAAATAAACATTTTAAGTTCGCTTGCTTCGGTTGTAATATATAACGCATGTTTATAAAAAAATATATATATAACAGTTATATTGTTCCTGTGAGTTAAGAAACCACACGGGATTAATTTCAGCTGGAGGGACTTCCCCCCTACCACCCAGCTGTTTTGGGGGGGGGGGTAATCGTGGGGGTGGGAGGATGGAGGGTCAAGGGGGGAGTCCAGAAGTTGGGGTTTGTGGACCCCGAGAATATTTAATCAAAATTAAGCCCCCGGAATCACTGATTTTAAAATCTGGCCATTCAGATTCCAACTGTCGAGGGGGAAGTTGTCCTCAACCCACTACGTGTGCGTTTAGGCAGTGTTGAGCTCTGGTAGTGATCGCATTGTCCCTAATGTATTATAATGCCAGCCTTAAACCAGAGGTACAGTCTCCCAGACTTCCACCACACCGCACAGGCCACTTCCCATTTCACATCTGATTACGAGGCGCGTGCGAGAGAGAGAGAGAGGGTTCTATCCACTCTCGTAAATGTGCCACTGAATCGACGTCCACCGTGCAGTTTCTTACTGCCCCCTTGCCTGCAAGGACGCTTTTTTTTTCTTTTAACTGGCTCTGCGATACACTCTGTATGCTGAGAATTAATCCACTATCATTGTCAGGATTATGCCCTGGTGCAAAGGTTAGCGCAATGACGACTGGACTGGTTGGCAATCCAGAACTCACCGGTGCATGTATATCTCCCCGTTTAGCATTGGAACAATGGGCATTTGTCGATTAGCGGGTCACATGCAGTGGGGTAAAGTGTGGGTACTCACACTTCTTCCAAGATATTTGGCCTGCATTGGAAGAGTAGGCCAAATGCCCTCGAGAGCCGTTTCCTTGACCTCTCTATAGTGGAGGCTCTTTTTCCAGTCATGGTGTATGGCGTAAAGCAGACAAATAAGCGAAACTACAAATTCCGTAGGTATTAGACTGACATGGCAATTTACATAATCCTTCGAATGTACCCAGTCTCATACTGCCACGAAAAATAATTGTACATCTGGGCCTACACAAATGATCAGGATTTACTGCGTCTATTTTTAAGCATGTAGAAACCCACAGAGACGGGAGGCTTTTTTCAATGAAGATGTGGGTCAAAATAATGATTCGATACAGTGAGGCCAAATTCCAGTGTGAAGTACAATAAAATACCAAAATATTGTACAATAGCACAGGTTTTATGAATCCTATTATATTCTGATTATTAATTTGCTTCCAAAAAGTAAACATATGAAGAAAACAAACGAAGGCCAAGTGAAAATGGCAATATGAATGCAATTGAAATATAAGGGGAGGAGGGGGGTACTGCAAAAGTAAATAAATTACATTTGGTTCAAATGAGGGTATAAATTTTAGTTTTATTACAATCGTGAGAAAATAAAATTAGAGGCGTTTTAACCCTTGATAATTCCGTCCATCGTGATAGACTGTTAAGATTTATAGCACTTCTGTGAAATTATATTAAAACATTTTCAAATCACATTGAGCCCCCCCAAAAAAAGTATTTTTTTTGTCAAAATAACAATGAATCATTAATTTTGACGAGAGCATGAACAACGGCTGCATTCGTATTGTGTGAAACGGTGAGGTCAGGCTGAATTTGATCGCTATCATGTTTGTAAATCATTGGGTCTGCTCTCTGTACCTCTAATGCTTCTAGAAGATATCCAAAATTGCACCATGACTACTTTTAAGAGACACTATTATTGCCGTTCAATGCTTTATACATTCAAATTATTAATACAGCGCTACTCCAAAAAAATGCATGCAATGTATTGAAATAATAGAATAAAATTATGCGTTGGCTGAGTGACGGGATCTTTTAAAAGCACTGTTAACAACGCGTGAAGCATTTTGGGTAGATTTACAGCGCGCTGCTGTGGAACTACACCAATAAATCCCTCGGCAGTTTTACTTCGTAGCCAGTTCTTGTAAGCAATTTATCAGCGCTCCAGACGTTGCAATTTCTGCCAGCGGGGTTCGCCTTTACAAACGCCTAGGTACGCCATGATGCAATTCGCAAGGGGTTTGTAATAGTATTGCACTATCATGAACCCAGAGAGCATTTCCCAAATGGCCAGTTAACTCCCAGCACACGAGATGTTCCGTGCACCCTGTACGGATGATGGCCGAGACGCGATGTAACTGGTGCTCAGGAGCCAAGTTGGCCATCTTAAGATTGTGGCCTCTGGGTTTGCGAAGTGCGATTGTGTGTGTGAGTGTGTGTGCGAGTCAAAGCTGTGTTTTTACAATATTTGCCATGCTGTTTTGTGAACGTAAAAGAAACCGCTTGCGCTTTGAGGCTCCTCCAGAAAATGAATCATTGTTTATTATTCATTGAGAAGCCTGGAGCTGTTGCTTGGCAATAATATCATCAGAAAGTGTTCCGATCAATCTCACTATTTCCATAGGGCAGGCAGCTTTGTTGTTGCCCTTAATTGACTGTGGAGGATATTAAAATCGCTGATGAGCAGCCGAACATTAATATGTGTCCAGTAATTTCAGGATTATGCATTTAACGCAGAATTATATTGCAATATTGTGGCCCCGAGAAGCGAGCAGAGCATGGGCCTTCATCATGATTTTATGAAAATGGTTTAATATAAAATTGCTTAGGCATGCATTCACACCCTCCCTATGTCAATTCCAAAAAAAAAACAGAGTGCAATCTTATATTCTGGACAATCACAAACAGTCATTGCTAAAATAATCAATGTTTTCCATCTTTTTTTCTGAGATATAATACTGTATTCATGTATGTATGTTGAACTTCTTTCGCACCGTACATAGCCAACCATGCTAATTTGAGGTGCGGCATTTGTAGCACATACACAAGTAAATTATGTGTTCAACCTATGCTAGTTATTTTATTTCACTCCAACAGTCCACTGTTTATGTTATGACTAACTGTAACATGTATCATATGGGGTATAATGATGAATGAAAGTTAATTCGGTATTATGCCGATAAAAACTCGTCCTGAAACATTCGTATCAGATTCTGTAATCGAATCGCAACTGGATCGTAACAATTCAGAAAATCCCTTCGCTGGGGGGAATGAATTGTCACTCGCTTCCTGGAATGATTCTCGCTCTCCCCGGTGGCACACTGGCCTGTTGATAGATTTACGCCAACGACCATCATTATCTCCCTGCAGTCAGCCATGAGAGATGTTCTTCCATTACACTATTGAACAGGGTTTATGAAAGGTTATTTCGTTGCCACAAAAAATGCACCTACAGCAGAGTGTACGAATTGCAAAAAAGGCCACAAAGCATAAGTGGCTAAGAAGGCAACGCACTCAGAATTTTTATTGGCGTCATTATAAATAAACATGGACTACAATTCACGGGAAAGAATCATCTCAACCTTAAGATAGGTTCATCAATTCTACGCTGAACTATTTTTTATTTTACCAGGTAAGGCCCACTGAGGCTATCTAGCTCTTTTCAGAAGTGACCTGGCCACAACTGATAGCTCAACGAAGTGGCTTATCACGTGGGAATGTATAGCAGCCAAATACTCTAAACCCATGTTGGTTCTAAATGTGGAGGGAAAAACCGGAGGACCCAGAGGAAAATCCACACGACCACAAGGAGAACATGCAAACTCTTAAGTATACAGGCATCATCAGGAACGGGATCGAACCCACGACCTCTTGTATACCTGGTGAGGTAGTTAACATCTCGCCACCGTGGCACCCTCTCATTGACCCAATTCAATTCACCAGACTGTAAATTAGGTCAAGTGCAAACACTGTATTTGTCCCCATAAAAAAATAGAAAACGGCACCATCTGAGTGTGAGAAATGTCACCCCGGAGTTCACAGGGTTCTGAGTCGTTTGAGGCACGTGTGCACCCTCCAGCTCCTCCTAGTGCACCATGCGACCGGGCTCTTCACATTCTCCGCGCCCTCATGCCACCTTGCAGCTGCTGGTCGGGGAGTCGGCCGAAAGACTACCCTGAGGAGAGCGGCTCCGCTGAGAGACCGGGACGGACACGCCCTCTGACCCCTGGATCCAGCGTGGCCTGTCACCAGAGGGCAGCTCCCCCTACGACGTTTCTGCTCACAAGACTCACGGCGCGAGCCTCCTGGACCGCACGGAAGTCCTGGCCGGTGAGGAGCCAGCTGCTGCCGCATGCCTTCGCTCTGCTCGCCAGCTCCATCTGCTCGTCCCATTAAACGGATTAAATTTCAACATGCTTCCTTTCTTACGCTTATTAAAATACTTCCATATTGCTGCAATGTTTTCTCCGGGTAAAATATATTTTAACAAAAAATTGGACAAAGGGCCTTGTTAGTGGTGAGATGTAAATTACCTCACGTTTCTAAATGTGGTGGGAAAAATCAAGAGCACCAGAGAAAAATCCACGTGACCACGGGGAGAATATACAAACTCCAAATATATATGCATCAGCGTCGGGATTGAACCCACCACCTCCTGCATATCAGGCGAGGTCATTAACGTCTCGCCACCGTGGCACCCACGAGAGACGGTGGGGTTGGCGGGAGAATTGAAACATGGCCATTGTTTCAACTGCCGCACCGGGAGATCGAACCAACGGCTTCTGCGTTGCAAGCCCAGCGCGCTAACTGTTTTGCCATGGCAGCATCGTACGTACGTGTGTGTGCGCGCGTAATGCATCATATGATAATACCTTGTGAATAACAATAACTGAGTGCGCGTGCGTACCTTGCAGCCATCATCGCTGGAGGTGCAGTGGGGCTCCTCTTCGCCGTCTTCCTCATCCTCTTCCTGGTGTACCGCATGCGGAAGAAGGAGGCCGGCAGCTTCTCGGTGGCCGGACCGCTGCCCTACAAGACCAACCTGGCATACCAAAAGGCCCCCAACGATGAGGGCCCCATGTAATTCCTTGGGCCCAGCAGTGAGGGCCACCAGCCCCTCCCCAACCCCAAGCAATGCACGACATGCACCAACGCCTGCCCAGCAGGGCCAGCCCAGCCATGGAACCATTAACTTATTTAATTAAATTGAACAGCGGTAAAGTGGAATTTAGCGTACGTGAGTGATTTGATATTTACCCTTTGCATCTACAGTATGTGTAAACATACGTTTGGCTTGGTCAAGAAGACATCTTGGCCACTGTTCGTGATGCTACCACACCATTACCATCGCTTCCTTATGCTAGATCCCTCAGCTTTTGAGCAGTTGACCTGACACTCGACCTTAAAGATCGTCTGCAGTGGGAACAGAGATAAAAAAAAAACATATGGTGGAATAAAAACAAATACTGTGCGTCGAAAGTTAATATAGAACTTGATGACATTTTAATTCTAATCTGGTTTCTCAGGTGTCTGTAGATGAAAGGGTTAAGTGATGAACACTGTGGCATATTTTAATGCCATTGGCATTTCGATTCGTGTTGTTCATGTGCAAGACCTCCAAACAACTGATACCAATTTTGTTAAATTAGTTAGTGCTTCCATATATTACTTTGACCCTGTAAATCTAGGAAAAAAGGGCTGGCAGACTTCTTCAATGTGTCAGTGATCGTTTGCCTTTGGTTATTTCTTGCTGTGCAGCTTATTATGCTAGGTGTTAAACTCAAGCGGGCAGTGATCATGTTTCTTTCTCATCCGGCTATAACAGATGTGATATTTGGCAAACCGTGCTTTATTTTTTGTACAAAATACCAAAAAATAAAAAAATAAAATGTTGCATATAGGCCACACGCCAGTATAAGCCAGGCATTGCTAGTTCATTTGAGTGATATATATGTTTAGGTTTGAATATTTTTCCTTCTTTCCGGTAAATACTTAAGAAAAACACTCGCGTTTTAAAACGGTTTAATTTAGTTCCGTTCATTTTTAATGAAATTGCTTCTTCATATTCTTGGTGCGCCATCACACCGGGCCAAACATTAGGCTTGTTTATATAAACAAATTCACCACCACGAAATAGTGCCGCGTGTGGTATTTTGCCCGTGCCTTTCAGCGAGACTGAGCTTTGGTCCTTTTTTTACGTTTAGTCCTGGAGGGCGGTGCCGTAGGGAGCATCCGCAGTTGCCCTGTACTTCTATGCTACCACAAGCATAACAAGATTCAGTCTTAACCACAATCTGTGCTCCACGCACGCGCCGACCCGTGGTGAAGTATGGTCAAGTAACCCCCATAACCGCTCGGTGTGGAGTCGCCCTGATCTAGCAGTGGATTCACACGAGAGGCTGTACGTGTTGTCTTACTCGCCCCCACCCTCACCCACTGCCGCACCTCCGACTAGTGCGGTCGGCTCCGTACGGTGAGAAGGATGTTCAACGTACATACGTGAGATATCCACGCCGCCTAACGCTCACCAGCGTGTGGTGGCATAAATGACTGCAAGGAGTTTAGGTATCTATTATGTAATTTAAATACGTGTGCATCTTTTAAGCTTGTCTCTTGTTTTCAGTGTGCTTCACAGTTAGCCGGATGCACCAGAGGATACAATTAATTAACCGTGTTCTTTCCTTAATATGCCAACCGTGCTGTTTTAATCAGGATGATGCTATATATTGTTTTTTTTTCCTCCTCTGCGCGCTATTCAGATGCTAATGTCGTGAGAGTTTCTAGCGATGTTTTGGAACGTGTAAATCTCTCGGCTACTGACCGGTATTGGCCACACTCCTTGATGCACATTCCGTCGCAAGATGCGTTCTCATTTGTTGCTTTCTTGAACTCCTATTTGCAACAACAAAAACATTTCATATATTTTTTTGCGTGATTGTTATTTAATCCTAAACAATCATTTAAGATATCAAATTAATAGAAATCCTCACATTTATTTTAAGAAAAAAAAGTCTGTTTTATCAAGCATATTAAATGCATTTACTATAATGTAAGGGTTTAAACAATAGATAACTTCGTATTCACTTATGCTTTGTTTTGCCTGCTTCGCTGTCTGTCAATACGTTTCTCAATTTAGTTAAACTTCATTGCCTTGGAATTATTGTTTTTTTTCCTCCCAATTAATGCAATTTGCAAAGAAGTCGGCTGTTCACGTGGTATCACAGTAGTATGCTGTTGACAATGCTGTACTTGCGAGGTTTGTTTTAAGCACTCACAGTAGTAGCCGTAGTATTTGTCACATTCGTTCTATTTTAGGTCTTTGATTCACATTATTGCTATTTATACAGTTTATATAAAAAAATAATCTGGCATGGTTTTCCTGCACAAGAGGTAATATAATTTTGTGGATTAATTATGATTCGCCCAGTCAGTGGGCCTTGCCAAAGCTTTTCTTCGTGCTTTTTCAAATAAAATGCGTCTTTTACTTGCTTTTAAAATTAACTTTTCCGCTATTGGTGACCTTCCTTCTGATGCTATATTTCTCCCTTAATGCAAAAATTCAACGTCACTTGCGATTATAGGTTTGCTTGTTATTATCATCATTATTAGGGCTTAATTTCTCACTGAATATTGTCTGGTTCGCTGGTAGGCTGGAAAAGTCGGCTCTGTGGCTCATTTCCGCAGCCATATAGCAAGAGGTATTATGGATGTGGTGTTGATGGGTGCTGGAAATATTTTCGGGTTTGCCAACCCAGACAGGACCTGGCTGAAATGAAACCCTCATCATCATCACTATGGCGTTTTTGATCTCGGAACAATTGGCAATCACAAATACAACAATTCTGTATATTTGCTTATGAAAGGTAATTAAAAAAAACCTTATAAGCATGTGCAGTGTTAGTATGGCTTTCCCTCTGTATTGATTATAATATTGTTCAGTTGAGGTATCTTTCCAAGGCTCTACAAAGTAAGGGGCAATTCATTTAATACATACGCAAAAATCTGTCAACTTGACCCCTCCTTCCCTCCCTGTACGCACGCGGACTTTTTACACCCCCCCCCCCCCGAATCCTATAGAACGGCCGATATTTAATAGACGCAGAAAAGATCAAGGATTAATAATATTAACGTGTTTTAAGCAGACAGATAGTCCACCGCCGGACTAGATCTAACTAATTTGAAGGCCAATGTAGACAAATTATTATCGAGGCTTCACCCCCCTCCCCCCCAGTTTCCTATTCGTACATTGTCAGTAGACCCCCCCCCATACGCACGCGTGCGCATTTGGGTTAACCCCCCCCCCCCCTCCATGCGTACTTACTAAATGGATGGCCCCTAAGCGGTTACTTTATGGACATCGACACTGTAATATTTACATTATGTATGCAGTAACTCAGGCTAAGTGCATCGTGAACTTCCATCAATAACGAAATATTATTTTTCTTTCCCTACGAATTATTTCATTTTAATTAGAAAAAAACACCAGGGCTTTAAAACAACAGGTAATATAATATCCACGTTTAATATGAAGTAGAAAAAAAGCTAATCATTCGGCTTCACTATGACATGTTATAATTAGAATAAAGCATTGTATATAGAGGGGATACAGCTGCATACCGTCTGAGCTAACTACTACTCGCAAATTAAAGTGCTTTCGTTCTTTATGGGGACTCGGATAAAGATGTTGCGTTGTACTGTAACTGTTATAACATAATCGTGTACTGTGTTCTGTATTTGTTTTTCAAATAAAATGGACAATGCTGTTGTCCAAAGTGACCGCGTGCTTCCGAATGCCGTGGCGGCGGCGGCGTCCGCCCGGAAGGTTCAGCGGCTTGCGAGTCGCTGCTTCGCGTGCTGAGAAGCGACTCGGTGTGGCAAGCGATGCCGTGCACGGGGTTACAAACGACGCGTTCGTAGGGGGCCGTCCATAAATGACGTCACGCACCTAGGGGGGGGGGGTAGGGGGGGGGTCAGACATTTGTGACGATGTGTGACGAGGGTGGGGGGGGAGGGGTTGAGAAATGTGACGTCACATCAAAATGCGCAACTTTAAATAAATTAAACAACACGTTCTACTTATTAAAATAGACTTTTTTTAAAAATAAATGTTTCCTCCTACAACATCACAGTGCAGTGGCACATTGAATACGCACTACAATGACAATAGTTTAAAGCGATTTGAAGCAAGTTTTTTTTGGGGGGGCGGGCAGAGCTTTGTGACGTCATATTTGAGGGGGGGTGTGTCTGACTTTTCGTGACGCCGTGTGACGAGGGGGGGGGGGTCAAAAATCGTCCAAAATCGCGTGACGTCATTTATGGACAACCCCTTAAGGTGTCGTATGCGCGTCGCTCACCGTATGGGTAACATCGTCGGCGGGCGTAGTAGATCAAGGCGGGTGATGCCACGCACGTTTCTACAGCGTCATTGGAGTGAAATCAAAGAGGGAATGTTTGCTTCGGACCGGCAAAACTCCAGCCAGGTCAAAGCAGCAATGCATTTTATGTAAAAAAAAGGACTTGGTGCGGGTGTACTTTAATATTGTTTTGGGCAAATGTAAACTTCAATGATTACTGTGTTGGCTAATTTATAAGTTAAGTCAGGTATCGAACAAAATACGTTTTAGACGTTTATGCATATAATGTACAGGATGTATGTGAAGATATCCATTTGTTTAAGAGTTATAGTTAGACACATTTGATCTCGGGCCAATAAAATTGCAAAACACTTGATAGTATGAAAAGTGTATCAAATGCGTCTCATCTCTCTAAACCTCCACTTGCCTGCCAAGGCGTTGGCAACGCGTGCCCTAATCGAGATATGAGAGTCCCTGGGTGTTCGCCAGCACCTCGGCTGTGCTGGTTTAAAATGCTTCTGTTCAGACTTGATTTGAAGCTTTCGTGACTGCAGGAATTACTCTTTGTTTTTTTCGGTAAAGTCACGTATAAATAAGAAATAATAAAATAACATAATAGCGTACGACGTTTCGGTTGCAACACAAGCAGCCATCATCAGGTACAGAAGAGCTAAATTTACGAGAGAGGGGAGACACATAACCTCAGATGTATATACAGACACCCAAGTAGGGGGAACTAACACAGATACAACAGGGGACACAGAGAGAGAAGCATACCAAACAGACAGGGTTTAGCAAAATTTGGAAACCATATAAAGCAACACAGACGGTCGGTCAAAACACAATTAACGCATAGTCCGGTTGATCACGCTATTTCAAAGATTGCTAAATTGGAAGTTAAGTATGAAACTCAAAATACAGACCGCACACACACACACAGAGACATCCAAGTAGAGCGAACCAGCACAGAGACAAGCACACAGAGAAGTCGCCTTAAATAGGCAGAGAAGGTAGGCTGAGAGACAATGGGACAAAATTAGCATGAGGTATGCATGGAGCAAAGTGGGGCACAGCAGCATCCACTCGGAAGCACAAGGCCCACACACAGGCAGAGACAGCACAGAGACACAAATCCAAGCCAAGACACAAAGGCAGATACACAAGCAGAGACAACACAAAGACACAGACCTCATACCTCCCCGTAGAGGTGGTTCAGACTTTATTTGAAGCTTTCGTGACTGCAGGAATTACTCTTTGTTTTTTTCGGTAAAGTCACGTATAAATAGAGAAATAATAAAATAACATAATAGCGTACGACGTTTCGGTTGCAACACAAGCAGCATACCTCATGCTGATTTGTCCCATTGTGTGCTGCCGTGCCCCACTTTGCTCCATGCATACCTCTTGTTAATTTTGTCCCATTGTCTCTCAGCCTTACCTTCTCTGCCTATTTAAGGCTACTTCTCTGTGTGCTTGTCTCTGTGCTGGTTCGCTCTACTTGGATGTCTGTGTGTGTGTGTGCGGTCTGTATTTTGAGTTTCATACGTAACTTGCAATTTAGCAATCTTTGAAATAACGTGATCAACCGGACTATGCGTTAATTGTGTTTTGACCAACCGTCTGTGTTGCTTTATATGGTTTCCAAATTTTGCTAAACCCTGTCTGTTGGTATGCTTCTCTCTCTGTGTCCCCTGTTGTATCTGTGTTAGTTCCCCCTACTTGGGTGTCTGTATATACATCTGAGGTTATGTGTTTCCCCTCTCTCGTAAATTTAGCTCTTCTGTACCTGATGATGGCTGCTCATGTTGCAACCGAAACATCGTACGCTATTGTTATTTTATTATTTCTTATTTATACGTGACTTTACCGAAAAAATAAAGAGTAATGCTTCTGTTATTGGCCTATTCAAGATCACGCGAGCAATTCGGGTTTTTGTCGTACATTTGCTACTTCATGTATGTATGTAAGGAAGACGTTGCCAGCATGTCAACCGTAGAGTCGAAAACCGCCGTCTAATTCTAGTTATTTAATAATGGATGATACCTGTGTAGTGTCGTCTGTGCGTGCGGGTGGCGTGCGTCGCACACGCAGTCAGCCGGAGACTGTGTTTTGTAATTTTATTGGAGACTGGGTGGTCGCAGGAAGTACCGCTCTGCCCTCTTTATTCGTTGTTGCCAAGCTCACGCCACCACTCGGGCCCCCTCTCTCTCACGACCCCGCTGCCGCACGACCCGTTCCAGACACGACCCTGTCCGCGTTGCACCGACGGCATCGACCGGGACAGCCAACCGCTGTCCGGCCACGCAATGATCGGGCGAAGGCGGCAGCGACGAGGGCGGCGACGAGGGCGGCGACGAGGGCAGCGACGACGAGAAAGAGTCCACTCCCAGAACCGGCAGCCCGGAGCTCTCGCTCTCCGCCGCTTATATTCTACTCGGCGCGGCTTGGCTCCGCCCCAGCCGCGCCTCCCTTCTCGAACCCTCTAGAGGGTTCCAGGGGCTTCCACACGAGGTCTACCGTGACCCTTGCCCCAGTTCCTCCGCCCTGCCGGCACACCTGCGTATATGCTCAGCGGCGTGTGCGCTTCAGCGCTATGTCACCACACCTGTATGCACACCCAGCATAAGGAAGACGTTGCCAGCATGTCAACTGTGCAGTTGAAAACTGCCGTCTAATTCTAGTTATTTAAATCATGGATGATACCTGTTTGCACACCCGGTGGCGTGGCTATCGAGCGTGCAGGGAATGGAACTGAACCCGGAGAGGGGGGTCCCATGGGTCAAAGCAGCTCAGGCGCCGGGCTTTGAAGAGGGGGAGGGCATTGCAGTGAAATGGGGCAGAACCCCTATTGAATTGCACCAGAGCCCGTAACCAACCACGATACCTACCAAATCTCATCAAGGAGCATAAACCGTCACCACGCGAACTCCGGTCATCCTCGTGAGCAGCGGCTTTTGGCTGGCCATCGGATGCGCTTCTGCGCCCGTCTGGAGCGCTCTTCCTTCCGACATTCGGAAGCAACCGGGAGCTATGCACTTTTAAATCGAGGTTGAAAACTAATTTCTTTAGAACTGCTTTTGGTGTTTAGTTTGTTGTCCTTCTCCCCGCCGCACCTCCGATTAGCACGGTTGGCTACGTACGATGTGAAAGAGGTTCAACATACATACATGCCTAATGACACCCAATTTTCTCATTGAACCCTTGCTCTGCACCACCAACTAAGCGTGCAGCTTTGATTATAACAACTGATGGACTCCCACCCACCACTTTGATCTTGACATTACGACGTGGAGAAAGAAACATGTTCTCAAAAAGGTTTTTTTTGTTTCCCGTCGCACTGGACGTGTGTTTATTTCTTCAGTACAGTAGTGTGCGCAGAAATATCAGTCACGATACATTGATTTGTCTGCATATAGCGCTTGACAGTGAGGTTGGAGAAATTCACTTCATTGCGACTGCTTCGGACATCACTCGCCACAGATGTTAGCCACGGAAGGGAATTAAACTCGGGTAACTGACTTCATAGCACAAATAAACCACTTTACCACTCCACCCGACACACATACTACGTAAAACTAACCTATTGACAGCTGTGTCTTTGAAGATAGTATTGTAATGGAATACTGGATAAAGCATGCTGGGTTTAAAAAGTGCTTGTGCGGGTTGTGTCATGCTTGTGTTTGTTTTGTAAACACGGCTCAAAATGCCAAGTCACCAGCAACAAACACTTTTGAAAATATAATAGATAAGAGTTCATACTTTTTTTTATTGAACCTTCATCATGTGCCAAAGCATTTGCCATGATTTTAAGAATCCTTCATGATGGACTAGATTATTACATAGAAAGTGGCAAAAAAGATATTCACCGTTACTTGAATGTTTGCCAGGAGTTTTCACTGGCATTTATGATGCCAACAATTAATAGTCATTTATACTTATTCTCTGCCAGCTATATGTTTTCTGCCAGTCAACAATGTTACTTCGATATGCTAAGTGATGGATAGAGAGGAGAGTGCATCTGCTGTTGACAACATACACTGTGACATTTATTTTTTTCTCCCAATTAGATTACAACTCTGTTGTTGCCAACCTTATTACACGTGAGGGAGTTTGCTCCATTTCCAGCCTCATTAAAGCAGGGTGCAAGAGGAAATATTTAATTTCATATAATTTTTTACTGCTCAGTGAGCATATTGGTAGACAGCAGAGCGTCTCAGAGGTGCAAGTGATAATTTTAATAGCTAATTAATCACAATACTGCAGGAGTCTAAGTATTTTAAAACGTCTTTAGATATAAGCGCTGAGACGTAACTCGTTTTTTTTTTCACTTTGTTAGAAATATTGGGCCAGGTGCATTCATGCAGAGTTTTCATAAATGCCTCTGGACAGAACTGCGAGGAAATGTGAGGCAATGTTTTGCCT